GTGGCCATCTGATGACGGATGTTTCCCTACATTTACAGAGAATTGGTTTTTGAAACAAGTGACACAGAGTGTGTTTGAGAACCGATGTGGGGCTGCTGGGGGTTTGTGACGGTGGACTGTTTACATGAAGGCTGTTAACGTGACCTGTTAAACCTGCAGGGGTGAAGGGCTCGCCGTAAAGGTCGCTGCTGCGAGGGCGGCAGTAAATCCTGCATTTCCTGCTCTGCTTTTTGTTGATTTGTTTATTTGTCTCTTTGCTGAGTCACAGCCTCCACATTCAAAAGCACTTGGAAAAATCTCAAAGCGTCAAACAGAGAAATCTTAATGATTTTTGTTTCTGCCATTTTGAATGGTTTAAATAAAAAAGTATCTTTTTCTCTTTTTTTAGAGTAAAAAAACAGTAGTTTTAGTAGCAGTAGTTTATTATATTACCTTCTCCAGCAAAAGTGAAAAAAAAAACCATATTTTTGAAATAATACCAATTGATGTAGAGTTAACTTAAACTGACCACAGGTGTAACTTAAACTTTAACTGTGAGTGTGAATGATTCCAATAGAAGACGGATGAATGAAACATAAATTAATGAACAGTGGACTGATCTTGTAGCCCTAGTGGACACTTGGTGTAATGCTCCAACCATGCCAGTGCTGCCTTTAAAGGAATTTATTGGACAGTCAATCAGTCATAAACGGTGTCTCCTGAGTTTTTCTGCAGCCAATCTCCACTGGACTATGTTTTAAAACAGATATAATCAGTGATTTATTTATTTTTTCCATTAAGGCACAAATAAAAATCATTTAAAAATATATATTTGACCTTCCTGCAAGAACTATGTATCCACAAGAGGACCCCGCCCCCCATTTTCTGTGAACCACTGGTCTATATTTCCCTCCAAATTCACCACAATTGCTTTTTTTTTTTAATGCTGGAAACCAACCGACCGTATATTCTAAAGAAAAATGCTAATGGGCGTGCAGATAATAGCACGTCCTGCCAACATTGTATATATAACAATCTGTAAAATCACTAGCTTCTATACAAGAACTGGAAAACTCAGTTTAACTCAGAGTCACGTTTCCTATAGTCCCCAGCAGAAGTACGGTTCTATTCTCATTCAGCTGTTTGTTTTACTTTGGTGGAGCCAGCGGTGACGATGGTGTCCTTTGGTGGAGCCAGCGGTGACGATGGTCTCCAGCAGCAGCAGCCCCATTTAAAGCTGTGTTCAGATAATTTGGCACAGGAACGTAGCCTATTAAGTGCAGTGGTGCATGAACAATTGCTCAGCTGGCACATGTGGATCTGTATAACATTTTACGTGTTTGGCAGTTGTTTTAATCTGCGGGGCAGAGGCTCTCAGCAGCAGGAGACCGTGCAGCACAACCTATCTCATCTGTTTCACATGGTCCAGTTCAAATAATAACAAGATCTGTGCCTTAAGGTTTCACTGTATGTGAAGTTAGTTCAGGAAAGTAAAGAATGTTTGAACACACACAGGTCAGGTGGAGATGAAACTGAGGGCGTACTGAGGAGGAAGAGTGAACGTAATCACAGGAGAATGGGCTAGGAAAGGAGTCAAGGGAAGATTCCTGGATGTAGTGAAGGATAACAAAAAAGTTTATATAAAGGATTAGATGCTGGAGCAACATCTAAAAGAAGCAGCCAGTCATGAAGAACAAGTGTCACCAGTTACGTTTGAAGGGTTCAGTATGAAGACAGAGGTGTGAAGGATTTCAGACTTGAAGGCAGAAGTTGAATTTGATATCCAGTATGGTCTTTTTTTAAAATATGGAATTCCAACTTGCAGTGTGGAATATATGGAAAGACCTCAATGCATCTATGGAACCTTTCAAAGGTCAATACAACCAAAAAACCCACTGTGTTAGATTTATTGGCATTTTTGTGTCATTATTGTCAAAGAAAGTAATAAAATTTGCACCTAAAACCACATGCTATGATCTAATGATTGGTCTTCAAGTGTTTGAATTATTATTAGTGTTTGAATTAAGTGACTTTTTAGATTTAAAAAAAGCCTTAAAATGAAGTCGTATGAACATAAGTCAAAGATACATGTTATCGTTTAAGCCGCCTATTTCTTACTGTATCTTTAACCATCAACCTCTTCAATTACTCCCGATAGCCACAAGATGGCAGCAATGTAACACGACACATGACTTGAAGCGTCTGCCTCTGAAACTAATAATTTCCTGCTGTTCTTTTTAAATCACAATAATTTTATTTATTTGCACACGTTAAAAATGTTATTACTAAAATTCTATTAAATTCATTCAAACTTGTAATTAGATTTTTAACATTCAGTTCATGGGAGATATTTCTCAAACCAACTCTTGATTCTTATTGTCTATGTGATTCATTGTGTTATGGAAAAAATAATAATTTTTAAAAAAGTATAATATGAACTGACCCCCGTCCTTTTCTCCACCAGGCGGCCTACAACCTAGCTAACGTGGCCTGTAAGTGTCATGGAGTCTCCGGCTCCTGCAGTCTGAAGACCTGCTGGCTCCAGTTGGCCGACTTCAGACGAGTCGGGGAGTTCCTGAAGGAGAAGTACGACAGTGCTGCTGCCATGCGTATCGGACGGAAGGTATGTAGGCCACACAAAATATAAAAATAAATAAATAAATTTTAAAAAAAATCAACTTTGTCTGGTTGAAAAATAGATTTCTACCTCATATGATGACATAATATATAATAATATGTATATACGATATTATCGGCCTGATATTAGCATATGTAATATATGTAAGAATCGTTATGGGTTTTTCCTCCGATAACGAAATGCTTGGGTTTAGCTAAATGATGTGTGCCCTAAAAATAGTTCTCGGGATAAACGGCTGTATATTCAAGTGAAAGTCACTAGCTGGCAGCATTGCAGCTCATTTAATTAATCTCATACTTAGACAGTGGTTTGTACAGATAAATAAATAAATACATATCACCAGGCCTACATTGGTATCTGTTGATAGTGGAATCGGAATTTAAATGTTTAAACATCACTAATGACAATGTTTTTTTTTATTCTGCCCAACAGGGAAAGCTTGAACTGTTGGACAAGCGTTTCAACACTCCCACTCCCGAGGACTTGGTCTACATCGACCCCAGCCCGGACTACTGTCTCCGCAACGAGACCACGGGCTCCCTGGGCACGCAGGGTCGCCTCTGCAACAAAACCTCAGAGGGCATGGACGGCTGCGAGCTGATGTGCTGCGGCCGGGGCTACGACCAGTTCAAGACCTACAAGCACGAGCGCTGCCACTGCAAGTTCCACTGGTGCTGCTCCGTCAAGTGCAAACGCTGCACGGCGCTCGTGGATCAGTTTGTGTGTAAATAGCACAGAGGTCGAGACTGATGGACGGAGGAAGGGGGAGAGTGAGAGAGGGGGGACGGTGGTGACGGAGGCCGGAGGATTGATTTTTTTTTTCAGGGTTCTGTTCAGGACGAGTTCAGTCGATGACTTTCATTTTCTGACAAAGCTGCTCTTATGTTTTTCCCTCCCTCACCTCCCGCCTTTTCACACTCGGCTGCAGGAGAAACAACATCCACACGTCCATGTTTGTAAGTGTGTGTGTTTGTGTCAGTGTGTGTGTGTGTGTGTGTG